ATGATTTAGATGACAAAGTACAAGGAACAGTAATCAAATTTGTAGATGATGCAAAACTGGGTGGATTAGTGAACATCCTATCCTGGAAGACAGAATGAAGATCCAGAGCAATCTTGATAAGCTTGAACAGTGGGTTGAAAGCAACAGAATGAGTCTGAATAAGGACAAGTGCCCAGTCCTTCGCCTAGGAAAAAGAAACCAAATCCATTTATACAAGATGGCGGATACATGGCTCTACAGAACTGAAAAAGAAAGAGACCTTGAAGTTATTGTGGACAACAGGCTTAATTTGAGTCAACAATGTGAAGCAGCCTCAATTAGGGTAAATGCTATTTTGGAATGCATTCATGGAAGTATTACTTCCAAATCACGAGAAGTAGTAGTTCCCCTATACTTCTCACTAGTCAGACCCCATCTGGAATACTGTGTCCAGTTCTGGGCACCAGAATTTTGAAAGATGCAAAAAACTAGTAAGGCTGCTGAAGAGGGCAGCAAAAATGATCCAGGGCTTGGAAACATTGCCCCATGAGGTGAAACTGTGAGAACTGGGTATGTTCAGCCTGGAGAAGAGAAGACATGAAGTGGGGGACATGATACGGGTATCACTCTATAAGTACCTTAAAGGCTGTCACAAAGAGAAGGACAAGATCTCTTCTTGCTGATACCAGAGTGTAGGACACAGAATAATCAACTCAAGTTGCAACAAACCAGATTCACACTAGATATCAGGAAAAGTTTCCTCATTGTCAGAACCAGTTGTCAAGATAGGTCATGAGCTCTCTCACACTAGTGGCAGTCAAGAGTAAACTGGACAGTCATCTGGTGTAAATTGGTTTCCTGCAACAGCAGGGGGATGGACCTGATGGCCTTCATGGCCCCTTCTAACTATACTATTCTATGATTCTACGATTTACTAACACTACCCCCAATATTGTCCTCTTTCAAAGCAGAAGAGTAGTAAACTCTTTTTAGCAGTAAACTTTTGCAATGGAGGGGGAGGGATGTTCATGCATTTCAAGCCGCTCCTCAAAAGTCATCTTTAATTAACTACTATTAATTTTGAAAAAAAGTTAGTTCTGCAAGTAAAAATTTTATATAGATATTCAGGATTTGAGGGGGAATTGCATAACTCACATTCATATTTGCCAGATCTGCATTTGTTTTGTGAAGAACAGTTAACAGGTGGTGTATTTTTCTGTTATCGTTTTTCACATAACCAGTTAAGGTCTGTGACTGACTTGAGCTAAAAGACGACTGGCTAGGTAGTAGAGATCACAGGTTTCCTTTGGTAATTGTTCTCAATAACTATATGTAGCATCAGCCTCAGGATTGGAGAGGAATGTGATGTGACAACTCTGGATGGACAGTTCTTCAGTCCTTAGCACATTATGTTGTGTCTAGTGCCAGCTTTACTCAGGCTAAACAAAGTGCCTGTGCTTGTAGCTTTGGGTGCCGTGTTGCAGTTCAGCCATGCCGAGTGTGGCTTGCATTGTGTGTCAGATCTGGATCTGAATGCATTGCAATCAGACGTGGTATTTGGATTAGCAACGAAAAGATAAGATTGCCTTGGTGCTGTGCAGTTAATGCGCTATACTCCCTGAATGCATCTCACAGATTTATTTCAGACAGTTCAGTTGAGCCAAGTAACATTTAGTGGGATTTGAGCAAGTCTTGAAGGACCAACTACCTGATTCAGTCCCCATGAGCTGAGTCACGAGCAAAGAACCCTTTCATCTTCCCCTTCTAGCGAGCACAGCAACAGAATTCTTGATAGAAGCCATTCCTGTTTTATTTGACCTCTTGCTAAAACAAGACTCTGGAAAACAGCTATGAAATACATATGGAGCTGTGCTAGTTCAGTCTTGACACAAAGCTGAAGGTGGTTTGAAAATATGCTTGTGCAGAAGCCAAGAAAGGTGCAGAACAAATGGGAGATGGTTGACATTGGGTGCAATGCTGTGGGAGTGGACTCACTCTGTTGCCCAAGTCATAGTGTTCCTGTTTTCCAGGAGCAATGTGGAACATTGCAATTCCTGTACCTCTTGCAGCTTAAGAGGGGTGTGATAACTATGTAGAGCAGGCACAGCCTTAAGGTTAGGTATCGGAGATGAGCACAAACCTAAATCACATTGCACTTGTGTAAGGGACTTCTTATGGCAGCAGCATTAGTACCCATGTCCTGGTGGATACTGCCCTTAGTGTGTATTATACGGTTGTACATACATATGTACGTTTTGGTTATATGCGGGGGGGGGGGGGAGCAACAGATGTCTTAAATAACCATGGATCTCACCTTGCTGAATTAGCAGACCACATGCTTTGGACAGTTTGGATGTCCTAACTAGATGAATCGGACAGTCTGGAGGGCTTGCATGCTCAGGACTGCCATAAGTCATAGCCAACCTGATGGCGCAAAGGAGCAGCCACAGCAGCAACAAAGCCAGTTAGACTGCAGTGTCCAAATGTTCAGGCAGTCTCAAAGTGTTATTCTACAAAGGGCTGCAGGACTGGTCTAATTGAACTTATGCAAAACAAACCTGCAAGGTGCATTCATACATGTGTGTGTGACAGGCAAAAGAAAATGCTATTTTTAAAGCTTTGAACTCCTGTCATTTTTAGTGCAGAAAGGATGAAGAAAGATGAGAGCAGTTCTCCAGACAGCTGTGTACTTTAGCATATCCCAGCAGCTGTGGGAAGGTTCTTACAGTGAGGGCTGAATAAAGAATTGGAGACTGAGCAGTTCATGTCTGGTACAGATAATAGCTTCTTCTTTTGTCATACCAGTCCTTCTGGTTTGCTTTTTTCAAGTGGAATAAGCCCTGAAAGTATTTATTTCCTTCACTGTGTACAGACACTAATGTCAGATTTTTTTTCTAATGACCTTGATGACAATTGATGATGTGGTAATTTGCTCTGTTGCACAGTATTTTCTGTGAGGCACCTGCCCTCAGTTGTGCAGTGTACTCTGGGTTATGTGGCTTCATCTGGAGGTGTGTGATACGGGGACTTTGTGTGAGATTTGCGTTACTTTTGTAGCAAAGGATAAGCAGCTAATAGATAGCCTTTATATCCCCTCCAATCTAAGATTCTGTGTGGTGCATCCTTTAACTCACAACTTAAGGCAAACACTAATAGGCATTTGGCATAAAGGCTTATTTGGAAGAGGACTGATGACCATTTTGGATTGTTCCCCTTGGATTTCATTTCTTTTTCAGTCCTCTCTGTGAGGGAGCTTTTCAGGAGTGATGCATCCATACTCAAGGGGGCATTTCTTAATGCTGTCTGACTTCCTGCCCCATATAACCTGGTTATTGCATGACACATCTTTGGGTAGATTAGATGCTTCCCTGATGGTTGTTTTGTTGCCCCTTTTCTTTTCTTGGGCACATGGGGAAGAGCCAATACATAAAATAAAATAATTGGAGAATTAGAGTGGGTCTTAAAGGGCATCGTCCAACCTCCTGCTCAGTGTAGGAAATCCATAGATCAATTCAGTCCATGACTGGAGAAGCTGTCTTAAGTTTTTCCTCACATTCTAGCTTTATCAATAGAATCAAAAGCAGGTGAAAAAATTCAACATAAAGATGTTTTCTGTAGGAGCTGGAATGCTTTCTCAGACAGGTTCTTCAAAAACAAAGAAACAGTAAGCTATTGTGCCATGACCCCATGAAAGCCTACATGTGCAGGGTAGAAAAGTTTTATGTGCTCTGCCCAGTCCTTCAGTTTGTAGAAGTGTTGAGTGTATAACTTGGAGGACATAGTCAAAAGGCTAACAGGACGATAGTGTGGAGGCACCAACCATTACCCTTTTTATAAACTGAACTGGCAATGCTTTGTTCCCACCTCAGAGGGACAATTGAAGCATTGTCAATCACAGTGAAGTCTTGCTAAAACTGGGGACCACCAGAAGGAGTTTGATTTTACTATCTCCAGAGACACCAAATCCTCCCCAGTCCGTCCGTCCGTCCGTCCGTCCGTCTCTCTCCCTCTCTCCCTCTCTCCCTCTCTCTCTCTCTCTGCTGTGGCCCAACTCTTTGTATTGATCTTTAGAGTAAAAAGGTTTTCTTAGCTTTCAGAAACAATTTACATTGGCAACAGAACTGAGTCAGCAGATCTATCTTGCCTAACTTTATTCTAGGGTTTTCACAGGATTTGGTGCCTACATCTGCATTTTTGCAAATCTGTTATGAGTTTGACCCACTATAATCAAATAGGAATTCAGCAAAGATGTAATTTTTGAAAAATAATATAGATGTCCAAATCTGTGATCTCAGAAGATGCCTCTGATTACGCATCTGCTGAGAATGTAACAAAAATGTGTGATGTCCATGTGTTTGCTGTGAGAAATACCTGTGTAACAGGAATTCCCATCTCAATCATTGCTAAGTGTACATTGTATAAAATGCAGTAAAAAAATCTTTGGGAGTCATTTCTAAATGGAAGTGCTCTGTGGCTTTGAGCTTATTATTATTTTTTATTAATCACTGGACACCTCCCTTGGTATTTATGCCCCATAAATTCCTATAGTTTCTTACACATACAATTGCCTGCTTTCTTATAAGATTCATGTGAATGAAATGAAATAAATCAGTCAAGGTTCATATTTTGGGAAGCAAATTAGGTTTAGAGACCAGCTCTAAAGGATCCCTATCCCATTTAGCTCATGTTAAGTGCTTTTTTCTCTCTCCTTTAAAATTGATTTTAATGTAGAGAAAATCACATGACACTTGGAGAGAATTGTATTTATTAATTCAACTGGAATTAGTTTGAATGTTCTGCAGTGGCGTGTACTGTAACGACAAGCATGTTGTCGTAAGCCTAAAAGCACTGATGCAAAAACTGATTAGATGGCATTGGACCTTGTTATCGATGCTGAATTAATGCTTTGATCCTACTATAGCAACAATATTGTTCTAATATGAAAACAAATAATTGAGTAGATAAGCTGTTGTCAAGTCCTAATCTTTGTTTTTTGTGTTTTGTTTCTTTTGTTCCTGCAGAAACTTATTTCCATCAAATCTCATTGTTGCGGCCTTTCGATCGGTAATACCCACATTCTTTATTTCTTTGTTTGTACTGAGATTTCATTTGTCCTAAAAAAAAAAAAAACGCTTACTTGCTATAATAGGATTCTGTCCAAGGATGCACTTTTGTTAAAACATTATGACATTTTCTAAGAATAATCAAAAGTAACAGATCATCTTACCTTACCAAAGATCAGGGTAAATAAGTCTTGGGGTAGCTGTGTTGTATAGTAGAGTGTTGTTGTTGTTCAGTTGCAAAGTTGTGCCTGACTCTTCACAACTCCATGGGCAACATTTGTCCAGGTTCTTCTGTCCTCCACCATCCCCTGGAGGACACCCAACCCCACACGCACCTCCCCAGTGAACTCCCTGCCATCTCCTTCCCCTTTTGCTTACCCAAAACCTGGGGTAGATGAGTGAGGGTGTTGTCAAAGTGAATAGATTTACAAGAATACTATTTACATAAAGGTTCACTGCTGTGATGAGCACAGTAAATTTAGGTAACTAGAGATTTCAGCACACTGAAGACACACCACAAGAAAAGATACTCCAGAACAAAACAGTTTATACATTTTACATATTTTTAAAATTTGAAAATGTTGCTTGATTTAAAAAAAATAAAAAATCACTACTGGTGGTCAGTTGTTTTGTTCTGGGGTGCTGTGCACAGCACATCACCTGCATATCAGTTCATATTGAAGACGGACAAATGGAACAATATCAGCACTGGACTCTTTCTGCCTGCTAACTGGTGGGTTGTCTTTTGACAAGAAACTATTCCCTGCCCATATAGTGTGAAATTCTGAAGTTGTTATGATGTATTGAGTACCTCTGGAAGAATCTGTATTTCTCAAAATTTTCTATCTCCCCTTTCTTCAACTGGAATATCCCCTCAGGAAGAAAAATGTAGCATCTTTCCAGAATCTTCCCATACCAAAGTTCCTTCAAACTCTGCCCCCTGTATCCTGGTAGCCTTCCCCATGGGTGCAAGGAAGTAGGAGGCAGTGTTAAACACAAGAAGGGCATCGCAAAATAAGAGCCCTTAGATAGAAATTGTTGCATGCAAGACAATCCTGACTGACTGGAACATCAGGTTAAAGAAACCTCTTCGTCATTTCATATGTGTTTCATTGTTTGCCCTGAAACCCATCAGTGCTAAATCTTTTTGCTTTGCAATCTGAGCAAATAGTTCTTAGTCCCACTAATGCAGGCACCATCTATTTCCTCTGTTCTCCCTTTGCTTCTACTGTTGGATTTCTCCCCAGTTAATGTTCCAGATTTAATTATTCTATATGCCCTGTCAGTCATTAGCTGTCTCAAGCATTCAATCCCAAACCTATATTCAGTCAAGATTAGATAGGCTTTGTGCAGTTTGGAAGCTCTTGCTCTTTAATAAGTTGTAGCCCCACTTGGATTTCTAAAATTGGATTTTCTCACAATCAATTAATAAGAGTCTGGAGTTTCTTCCAACTCTTCTTGGGTAGCTCTCGCTAACCCCCAACCCCTAACAAGAAAGTAAGATGTGCAGCCTTATAAGCTGTTGCTTAATTCATGTGGAAGCAGTGATAAGCCTATCTACTTGCAAACCATTTCCACTGAGTTCAGTGTGAGTTTCTTCCTGCAAAGTGAGTTTAGAATTGCAGCCTTCTTGTTGCACTTTGAGGGCTGCAATCTTGCATTAACTCCATAGTCAGGCTGGCCGCTGAGTCCCAGAAGTGCAGCTGTTACATTCCCATTTTTAGTAATGGAGCAGCTTGCAAATCCTTGCCTTCTATGAAGGACCATGCGAGCTCCAACCCTGAAGTGCAGAGGAGTGACCTTAAAAAGGAGTTACAGTGCTTTGTGGGAGAATCATGTGCTGGCATTGCACAGTTTGAGCAGGCTGGCCTTTTACTGCCCTGTCTCTTGCTCCCAACTTACTGTGTAGGTGAGCAAGAGACCGTGCTTGATAGGCTGGGTTCATGACTGGGTTCTTTCGCCATTCCTCTTCCATGCCAGACTGCCCATCAACATGTGCAGAGATGGTGCTTGATTATTCATGTGCAAGCCACCTCACTGCTTAAAGTTAGGTGACTTTAGGATTAGTAAAACTTGGTGCTTTGTGAACCACCCAGAGAGCTTCGGCTGTTGAGTGGTATAGAAATCAAGTAAATAAAATAAAAATAAATAAAACATTATAGGTGGAACAGAAGCCTCAACCTGTGGAAAGCATAGCTAATGCTGACCAATGCATTGTGGGAAAAACATCGGATCTCATATCTATATAGCCTCATCAGTGCGTGTGGTAATTTTCAATATTACATAGGAGGAACGCTGAATATAGGTTTATAGACCTATATTTTAAATATAGGTTTAAAATATTCAGGTTTACCTGAATATTTATCTAATGGTCGATGAGATACTTATCAATAGAATTCTTTTTCATTTACAGTATTCCACTGACTATAAAGCAATAGTAAGAAATGTTACCGACGAAAATGGTACCATTGTGAAGGTAAGCACTAGTTTTGAGTTAATCTTCGCTTTTGCTTACATGCTCTAAAGTTAAACCTCCTTTAAATACTTACAGTATATGTTGTCGTTGTGAAATCAGTCTTTCAGCCTGATGCTTATGCATGCTTACTCAAAAGTAATCTCACCCAGTTTGATGGAATTTGCTGTCAGGTAAGTTTGCATAGCTTCATAGCCACAGAAAATGTTGAGAAGTACCACTGACAAAATAAATGCAGGAGAAGAGAGCACTGGGGCAAACTCTAGGCTTTAATTTGCAGAAAGCCTTGCTTATTCTGACCAATGTATTATGGGAGCAAATCCAGTCTCTTAGGTTGTTTGTGTAGCTGCATCGTGTATGTGATATATTCCATAAGAAGTGTCAGATGAGTTTACGCTGCGTAATAATGAATTTATCAATGTAATGGCATATAAAATATTTAATCTTTTTTTATTAACAGTATATCACTGATTACAAAGCAGTAATAAATGCTAGCCTTGGGAATGCTACCATTGAAAAGGTAAGCCCTGTGGTTTTGTTCTACTTTTATTTGTTTACTTACAAATGCTTGCTTTTGGATTAAACTTTTGTAAGAATTTGGTGACATCATTAGACCTTCTGTATAATGTGGAATGAGGTATTAACTTTGAAAAAACTGGGTATTTTCCAAATTTCTCGGCTTCCCCCCCAAGTTTTCCCATCTCCATCCCTCTCCATTCCTTCATACCTTCAGAGAGGGCTTTGGGGTGGTGGGCAGAGATGGCTGTACGGAGGAAGAGAAGTGAGAAATGCTTCCTTCCTTATAATTCTTTCTGTTCAGTGTAGGATCAAGCCAGTGGCCTATCACAATAAGCCACCTGCAGATAGGTTGGTTACATGAGGTGGATTGTTTGTGAGACAACCTGCCATGCACCCAGCAGGTAATCAGGCTCTTGTCCTGCTTGCCTCCTCGTTCTCTCATGGATGCCGTTCACGGCAGACTGACTGGCCGGCATTCCCTCTGCTGTGACTGCAAGTCACTTTGCACTCTCCGCGACCTTTTCCCCATTTTACCTCTTCTGTCTCCCAGGATCACTTTCCACAGTCTCTGATTTGAAGGCTGCACTGACAGCTGGTTTGACACATTGATTTCACAGCTACCTGTCGCAGGTTCATCACTTCCTTTTAAAATTACTTTTTAGTGTAAACAAAATCTGCAAATGTTCTCAATTTTTATGTTCTGTTTTTGTTTGGACTTAAGCAAGTATGTGGTCCTAAAAAGGAAGCCACAGCTGAACAGTGTCCTGGAATGTGTCTGCTATGAAAAAGTCTTTCAAAGAACCTCTGTTTTGACAGCTGTCAAAGATCCACAGTTTGGTAAATGAGGTGGGATGCACTTTTTTCGATTCTTGACCGCCTACATATGGTCTTGGAAAAGGGTGGAAAAGACTGAAGACATTGAGAACTGTCAGGTCTAAACTTCAAATCTGGAAGGTCCTGCTGCAAAGGGGGTGATATGCTTGCCACCCTATTTTGCAAGCAAAGATTTTTTTTTTCGGCATCCTTACTTTTTGCTTGACAATACCCCATTTGACACTTGTAGTATAAGACCCAAAATAACAAAATTACCTATTGGTCTCTGCTCACAGCTGGTACCTACTGCACTTGTCAACAGGTGCTTATAGGCAAGACTTCACATTCTGGTTAGCTGAAGGTGTATCTTGTGCATCTCTGAACTCCCAACCACCACCAACTTATAAAAATTTTAGCATTTATTTCTGGTGCCTAAAAATAGTGTTTTAAGATGACAAACCACTGACAACTGCTCCAGTTTGTCACTTGGGCACTTTGGATGGTTGACGGTGGCTGACACTGCCAGAGATCACAAGAAGATTGCAAAAAAAGAGTGGAGTGGCAACTAAAAAGTATTGTGGGTGGAGTAGGGAAACTGAACAGTGGTGTTTGGTCATTGCTGGAGGGGCTGTCACTTGTGGTGGCTCAGGATAACTTGGCAAGGGTGGTGGGAGGGGTTGCTGAATGGCTTACTCTCTATTTCCTTGGTCTCATGGTAGGGTTGTTCTCCAGTGACAACCTCTCACCTGTCCAGCAGTCCCTAGAACAAGCTATGGGTTGTCAGGGTGCCATGTTTCCACAAAACAAGGAGGCTACCCACGGTGAATTGCTGTTTTGTGCAAACATGTTCAGTATGATGCACTGCAGCTGTATGTAAAGAAGTGTCAGCAGATTCGTCTTGATTCCAAAGCAGCTTTGGAAATAATGGTGTATATTGGAGAAAGTGTGAGAGAAAAGAAATGAAGTGTCCCTCAGTGACTTTTCTGTCCAGCAGTATTCCTGAGCCCTGTTTACTTTGCAAATATGTGTCAAAACTTGCAAGGTTTTCTTCGGTACACAAGCACTGGAGCATCTTTACACATGAGTGCAGCATAGCATACTGTTCTTCATTTGATTTGGAACTGCTAACCTTGTTTGCAGAGAGGAGGAGGGAATGCCACTTAAATGGAGAAATGGGGTGAAGAATTAGTGGACTGTGTAATATTTCAGTTTGGGCTAAAAAGGACAAGAGTTATATGTATGGAGTTTCTCCCCACTCTCCTTGCTTCTCTCTCTCTTTCTCTTCAGGCACACATTTCCCCCCATTTTATTTTCTCCCATAAGATTTTGATGTGTCTTTGGGGCACTTAACAATGTGGATTCCTTCTCTCATTTTCATACCTCCCAGTGCTTTGGAGTAATGGAACTCTGTGTGTAACTTAGAAACACAGCATAATATTTGTTGGACATCCAAGATTTTGGAGAAAATGAGACTCTTTAAGCCATCTCTTCCCTTGCATCTCTGCTAAGCACAGAACAGATATATTTTAGATATATCTCATCACGAGGGCAAATACATTATTATACAACATTTGATGTTTGTCTTTGATTGTCACCAGTGTCTTCTTAGACATTATTTTCTTTTCTCAATCTTTGGTGCTTTTAATCAAACAACCCAGGAAGCCAGGGTTCATCCAGACATGTATGAGGAACAGTATCTTCCACATGTGACCCTCCTTTGTTTTCTCATTGCTTTTCTTGCATTTTTCCCATCTGAAAAATGACAGTGTATGCAGGAGACTGCTCCCCCAAATTCTCCAAGCATTATAAAACATTGGGGGGGGGGGTGTTCTCACTTACTGTAAGGTAGGAGAGAAAGACCACCCCTTCCTGAGCTCTCTGGACTGGAGGTGGGAATGGCTGAACTCTCCCTCTCACCTCCTGTGGAGCTGAAAACACCCAGAGGCAGCCAAGCTCTCTCCAAAGAGGGCCCTCAGAGCATGGCACAAGACTGGCGAAGGCACCTGCCTTTCCTTTTGAGCCCCAGGGATTCTTGGAGGCTGGACCCCGACCTTTCCTTCATGTTGGCCGTTGGGGGCAAGGTGACAGGTAGAGCAAGCATCGCTCTTGCCAGAACAAAGGGAAAGGCAGCCTTCTCCACTCTGCAAGTCCTCTACCTGCAGGTGGGGAGAGGGGATCACAAGTAACATCTAGTACCAAGGCCAGCCAAATTTGTGGACTCCTGCTGTGTTGCTAATGTGCTGAAGAAACAAATGCTTGGAGACAAGTACAGCTCTTCAGGGTGCCCTTGTCATTTATCCACAAGCCCATTACAGTGGAGGCTCAAGTTCCTTTTGATGCTTGTGCTTGCATGGTTATATCTGTAACAGGAAGAATGTGCCTGTCATAATCCATAGCTTAAATAGTCCAAGGAAAGGTATTTCAAGATAAATTTGATGATATCAATCAATATTTTCCACAGAAAAGTAAATGAATGTGAACCTTCTGTTTTTCCAAAAGAGCAGAGACCAACTGAAATGTTCCAAATGTACTTCTGTTAATTCCACAGTAGTTTTGAGTCCTAATGTTACCATTATGAATGGTGAAGAATCCACTAACTTCATTCAAGAGACTCTTATGAAAATCCCTTTAAAAAGGTGTTTATATTCATGTCCAGAGACAGGCCCTTTTGAATTCAGTCCTGGTTGTTTTAACAAGATTTTGCGTGTGGTTTTTATCCATTCCACACCCTTGGGAAAGAGAAAGAGCCAACTAGAAGATCTCGCTTTATACAATTGGAGTTCAGTATTGAGACTCTTAATGTTTTTGTGTGTGCTGTTTTTCAGTTCCCTGTTGGCACTGAAACAGAAGGAATGAACATCTTGGGGCTGGTCCTCTTTGCCCTGGTTTTGGGAGTAGCCTTGAAAAAGCTTGGCCCTGAAGGTGAAGAACTCATTCGTTTCTTTAATTCCTTCAATGAGGCAACAATGGTCTTAGTATCCTGGATTATGTGGTGAGTGTTCTTTAGGACAGTGCTGTGAAGAATCTCCCATTTGGCGTGAGGTTTAGAACAATTCTTAGTGCTGATCCACCACTCCATCCAGCACACTGTTCTGACCTAGTGGGACCACAAATCTGTGCGATTTTTCCTGGGACAAGGCAACTGCTGGCTGTCTGCCCAGCCATTTCTGGGTGAGCTTTGCCTGATTACACTTTCCTGCTACAGGTTTGTAGTAGGAGCAAGCAATCTGGCATGCAAGGGAATAATCCACAGAGGCGGGAGGTCAGGAGGATACAGTTAAATCTCAGGCTTTATATTAAAGAGGCTTTATTAGGGTGATGGGAATGAGGTTGGTAGCATCCAAAAGAAACAAATCCATTTACGATAAGGCAACCCAAGTTGTTCAGTTTATGCCAAAGGATGGCATATTGCAAAGTAGGAGTAAACCCCATTTTTGTTCCTGCAGGCTCAGGGGAGGGTTTGACATGGGGAGGAAATCTTCCAATCCCAAAGAGCAAGGAAGCTGGATGTGCCAATCATACAGAGCACTTGGATGAATTTCCTATGAATCCTTTTCCAGCCAAGTCAATTGGAGTGAGAAATGTACAGTGGGAATCATTTTCTCCTTGTCACTGATAGACAAGACTCATCAAGAATAAGGCCATCCTGTGGACCTGAGAGAGGGAGACATAGCTCTCTGAAATAGGGAAGCCAGGTGGGCCAGAGGGAGGTGATCCTTACACTGGCAAGTGTTTAAAATGCAAGCTTTCTCCAGAAATAATTACTGGAAAACATCTGTGTTGGCATCAGTAAAAACAGTACAATGCAGCTAATGTGTACCAGCACCTCTGAAATAGGTTTGCATTTGTAGCACCACCATATTGAGCCTTTTTTCTGTGCTCACATTTTTAGTGAACAGATAGTGCTTGCACAGTGTTGCTTTAGTGCTCTCTTACAGGCACACTGGCACAGTTGCATTCGTGTGTATGTACATGCATGCAATCTTCAGTTTGAGGGAATAAGGAACAAACCAGCTCAAGAAGCAAAGATACGGGTCTGACTATTTATCTGGGGTACTAATACATAATTTACCAGAATAATGGAAGAGGTTTTTCTATTCTGTGTGATCTTGTTATGTCAAAACTGTCAGTCACTGTATTTTTCTTACTTGGGAATACTTATTACGCGGAGAATATGTGCACCTAAACCTGAGCTTGACCATAAGCTCAAAGCTGGAATCAGTGCACCTTCAGTGTGTGTGTGTTGAGGGGGAGAAACCCATATGTTACAGAGTTTGTTGTAATCTTACATGTTGGTTATGATTCCGGGTCTTGCTAAGCCACCCTGCAAATAGACAATGGTGGGTTAGCTGCTACGGAACAACCCACAGTGAGCTGGACAGTTCATCAGGCTGACCATGGGTTGTCCAATACTCCTGGTCCTCTAGCTGGTCACACAAGAGACTTGGTGGCTAAACTACCTTTTTGCTTCTTCCCACTGCATTTGCAAGTCCCCCCCCCCACCTTTTTTTGTTTGCTTGCTTCAGCTTTTTCCTTTCACCTCTTTTCCCCCCAAATTGAGTTCCACAATCTCTTGAGTTGACTGGTGATGACAGTCCCTCCAAAGTGCTCAAATGGTATGTTGGAAGGGCTGTAACTGACAGTCAACAAGACAATCACCACAAATGTTTCAATTTTCACATTAGTGTTCCAGTGGGTCCTAAGTACAGCTGAGTGAGCTGCTGAATCTAGCCATGTGTGTTTTCAGCTTGGAACGTTGCTGTAGCATCTCATTGAGGGCAAGGCATGTTATATGCAATGCCCAAAGGCATTTTTGTTCCCTTCTACCAGTTGGTGAACAGATTATATCCTGGCTGAATATGGTGGGTTCAAAGTGCACAGCTTAGAAACACAGAAACAGAGTGAGTCAGAAGGGGTCCCCTGGGCCATCTAGTCTGACCCCCAGCTCCAGCCAGCTCTGCTCATGACATGCCTACCATGTGCAAGTCCAGCCTATTCTTGAACACCCTCACTGATGGGGCTTCAACCACCTGCCATGGAAGCCCATTCCATACCCTGGAGGTCCTAACTGTCAGGAAGTACTTCCTGGCATCCAAATTGGAGCTTGTATGAGAAATGTACATTTTTCCACTTTCTTTCCTACTGGTGTCTCATTCGTGGTGTAAGCCCTCTCATATTGCCCTAAATCACCTAGAAACAGAGTTCTACATTTAAAAAGATGCAATAGAGACTTTTGCTTAAGTACCTGTTAATAATTACTGTGATTACACAACTGGAAGCAGAAACTTTCGGTCACTGAAGCCCTGTTTCCATGTCCAATAGCTGGGATTGCATGTGCATGCCAGCTATGCAATGGTAATAACATTTTTTCATTCCCTTTAAACTTTAAAGTTTAAAGCTTTAAATATCTCCGTGCAAGCCTAAACAAGTTTACTCAAAAGTCCCACTGCATTCAATGGCACCTGTTCCCCAGTAAGTTCTCTGGACATAGAACAACAGCAGGTGTTGCAAAGATATGGTTTGCTCATTAAACAGCTGCTTGGAGAGCCAGACCTTCCCAGGGGAGTGACCAGCTGATCTGGACTCCACTCTGCCAACTTTGCATGGACTGTTGGTTTAAGAGGGGAGTGGCCATGGACACACAAATCTGTCAGCCCCCTTTTGAGATAAGATTAGTGCCAGGGGTTTATGAAAGGTCACTGGCCTTCAAAAACACTGCTTTCTTTCATCTCCCTTGGGCAGATGACATAGGACTTGACTCTTTAGCACAGGGCAACCTAAAGCCCATTGTGCATCTTGGGACTGTTGACGGTGACTTGAGCTCTTCCAGCCCTGCTTAGAGATGCTGGGTCCTGCTGAATGCCCAGCAGAGGTGTACCACTGGGCTGTGACCCTTCTCCCCTCCATCTTGGTCATTGGCAGTAATGATGTTCAGAAAGATGCTGCCACGTGGCCAGGGATCCCAGACCCGTCAGGCAACAGCTGCACAAACCAGTGGTTCCCAGAAGCTGTACCCGTGCAAAAGGGAACCTTGGCCCTCATCCTAGCTCACCCCTTCACATGTCTGCGTGGCTGTTGTTAGAGGACTTGATTGCTGGTGGCAACCTTCAGGCTGATTCAGAAAATGGAAACAACTCAGTCATCCGGCATGGGGAAGGAAGTGGAAGTCACCTTCCCCACACAACTCTTACTTTAAATTCATAAATTGTGCCTGTATGTTTCTTGGAGTCTGGATGCCTCTGTCTTCTTAAAGTACCATCCTGAGTTGTGTGCCCCCCACCCACTCGAGAAAAAAGTCTCTGTTAAGCTGATGCCTTCAACATTTACATTTGTCATTTTTTCTAAGACTTTTTAATTGGACGTCTTACATCTTATTGAATAAATCCATCTCAGTCAAACCAATTAAGACCTCTGCCTTGAGGTGCCTGAAGTCTCTGCCACAGGTTGGAGATTTAAATTGCTACATCATTTTTCATTTTAATAAAAGTACCAGTGGCAGGGATTGAGGAGAAGGGAATTTGTCCCCAAGCAGTAGAACAAATTCTAAAAAATGTATCACCTTAGAAACTAGACCTTTATGTTAGTACATGTTGTTAGGGATTTGGATTAGAGCAATTTAAGGTTTTTAATTTAAAGAATAATTCATGTGATACTGTACAACCTGATAGGTGATGACTTTTTGTCTCTGGCTGTTGCTAAGCCAGCAGTCCAAGTTAATCAGTCATCATATAATCCTCCTCTTTGTAGATTACGGACTCAGCTCTCAAACAGACATTCTCAGTACTACCTTTCTAATTTTGTGGTAATTAAAATCTTCCTCCAAATCCTAATGAGCAATTTGAGGAAAAAAGCATCTGCTCTAGATTAAGGGGTCAAAGAATTAAGTTAAGGATTTGGGATCTGAAATGACGACACTGTTGGATTCCATGCTCCAGTTCTGTGCAGGATCATAAGACACTTGGTTGTAGCCAGGCCGGCCACTGTTCCTTTGGGCTCAGTATTGCCACCAAGGCGGATCCATTGCTTCCCACAGGAAAGCCCTGTTGATGATCTCCTGGGTTAAACACTGGGCCTTTTTGAAAACTGGAGGCAACAATACCATGGCCCACCTGAGAAGACATGGGATAGTTTGGATTTTCTGAGCCGAGACTGGAGACAGTGCTCTGACCTTAGAGGGCAACATCAGAGATCTGACCCCCTTTCTCCTTGCAACTGCCAGAGAAGGAACCATGCTGGCTGGCCTTCAGGGCTGGGAACTCGGCCCTTGAGAGGGCAAGGAAGGGGGTGTTTTGATGCACAGGGAGGGCTGGAGTCCGGAGAAGGCAGGATATGAGTTGTCCTGAGGCCTGTCCAGAATCTTTTTTTCCCCCTCCAAAATGCCCCAGCTAAATGGGCAAAAGGCCCACCTAGTAAAAAATGCAGTGTGGGAGAAGGTGAGACCAAGATCACTGCCACTGCTCCTTCTGCCCTGCACAGGATGATCATCAGCCTCCGAGTGTGAGGCTTACAATTATGGGAGATGCAACTCATAGGACTCTGCCCTCAGCCAACAGGTGCTGTTCCATTGGGTTGCATCCAGTGTTCATCCTACTTAGAGCTGGCTGAAATGAACGAGACCTAAGTTAGACCAACACTGGATCTTGCCAGAATATATCCCTAGCCACATATTTAAGTTGAGCATGATGGTTCTGTGTTCAAACTCTGGTTCACCAGCATCCTTGAAGTGTTGCATCTCAGCCAGTACATGAAGGGACTAGTGACAACTCTGCTATGGGAGCAGAAATACATTTGTAACTACAACTTTGTTATTTTCTTCTGTCAAAGCTGGATGATTGTTCCAGGCCTAGCTTGGGATAAGCTGAGAGCATAAACCTTTGAAAAAAAAAAGTAAAGGAATAGGGGGGGGGGGGGGGTATTTTTTTAAGAGAAAGGTTTGTGGAAGGACAGGCAATATAGGAAGGGTACACTTTTTTAATGGAAAAGTTATGGCTCAAAATGCGAATCCTCATCAGTTATAACAGACACAGACTACATCATAGGTTATTGCAGATAGGTGTGATTCACCGCATCTTGAATCCTCTCAAGAATGACTGCTAATGGTTTTTTCAGCCATACATGTGATCTACTTTCCCACCAGGCCAAGTTGACCCAAGAAATAGTCAAGGCCTGCTTCTACAGTTGTTTTAAATTCAGTGTTATTCAATATTCGATATGCCTAGCATGGTGTCTTCTTGGCATGTTTTTGTTTAGTATAGTATATGATAATTGAAAACCCTTGTTCCTAACTAATGTTGGGTGATGATTTCTATTCAGGTATGTGCCTCTTGGCATAATGTTCCTTGTTGGAAGCAAGATTGTGGAAATGGACGATATTGTCCTACTGGTGACAAGCCTCGGAAAATATATATTTGCTTCAATTCTGGGCCATATTATCCACGGAGGGATTGTTCTACCACTTATTTATTTTGCCTTCACACGCAAAAACCCTTTTACATTTCTGTTAGGACTTATAACGCCATTCACAACAGCCTTTGCTACTTGTTCCAGGTTGGTTGATTTTTACTTTTGTTTCTGAAAAGTTGAATATCATTGTTCTAACTCAGAGTAACATGTCTATTCTAAGCACCTTCTTAGAAGTTTCTGTGCCTTTTCTCGAAAAACAAGGGGTTCTCATGGGGTTTGATTTCAGCTTTCGAATGTGAGGCATGCTCAGATGTACCCCTAATACAGCCTTCCTCAAACCAGCCCCTTCCGTATGTTTTGGCTTTCAACTCGCATCAGTCCCAGTTGGCATGGTCCATGCTGGAACTATAGACCTAAACATCTGGAAGGCAAATGATTCGGGAAGACAGCCCAAAGAGATGACTGTCAGAGCTCCATGGCTCTAATAGTATAACTGCTTACCTCAGAGTATGCCCCCTTAGCTTGATGAAACCTGCTCCTGAGTAGACTTGGACAGGAATGTGCTTGCAAAAGCCAAAGAACATGTAGATGTAGTAGAAGTGCAATTTAAGAGATATCCCGTTGTTGAGCATTGCAAGGTGCCTGCGTTTTGCCACCAAGACAAATAATGAAATCTGTTCCACCCTGGTTTCTTAGAAAATCTCTTTAAACTAGTCATAACATAGCTCAAAAGTGAAATAATAGTAATAATAGTAAAGATGTACTGGAGACCACCCTTCCTGTGTTTTTTCATAAGGTTTGGATGTATCTTTTGGAAATGAAAAATGTGGAACTCTCTTTAGTTCCCTAGTTTCGTGGAACAGCATGTAACTGGAATTGTGCATAACAGGGCTAGGCTGACAGGCAAATCTGGTCACTTGGATTCTTATTTCAGGTTACAGAGAACATTGCCAGACCTGATGACGATGTGCTTCTCTCCCAACCACATCTAGCTCTGCAACTCTTCCATCAATGATCAAATGCATAGAGGATAACAATGGTGTAGACAAAAGGATTAGCAGGTTTATTCTGCCAATTGGCGCTACTGTGAATATGGATGGAGCTGCTATTTTCCAGTGCGTAGCCACTGTCTTTATTGCTCAGCTGAACAACTTTGACCTCAACTTTGGGCAGATCTTTACTATCCTGTAAGTTGACGTTCACACCAGTGTATCTGCACTTGCAACCTTCTCCGTTGTATATTAGCAGCAGGCATCTCTAGAGATACAGACCGACTAGAGAAAGAACAGTTTGCTTTCTTCAGGTTTACCGTGTTGCTCTTTAGCTAGACTGCCAGCTAGAAAGTGTGCCTTTCATATATTTCACTGTCGTGAATAAGAGTTCAAAGCATGCTGGGCATGCTTTGAACTCAGTCATCTCACTGACTGAACCTGTGGAACAGCCTTCCCCAACCTGGCACCCTCCAGCTGCTTGGGGTTTCAGTGCTCAGGGACCCCAGCCAGCATGGCCAGTAGTCACAGGTTGGGGAGTTTCAGTCCAAAAAATCTGGACGCTGGGGAGGGCTGCTGTGAAAGGAAGCAGTGCCTGGGTGTGCAGTCAAGACCACAGAGCCTCACGCACCTACCTGGGAGCAAGCCCCGGGACCCATGACGCGGCTTGCGTCTGTGATTCAGGCCTTCACTGAATGGCTTGGAGACGTCCCTGTGCCTTTCAGTTATGAATGTGATGCACACGGGATGAGTGTGCTACACTCAAGGCTATTGCAGAGGATCCACCACAGCATGTAGGAAGGAAGGCGATACCCCTGGCAGTAAAAGCACAGGTTTTAGATCTCTCTAGCCATTTCAGTTTCTTGAGGTATGTCTGCGATTTCTAAACAGCACTGACCCATGCTAACTTGTGCTGACAGTGTGACTGCTACAGCGTCCAGTGTGGGAGCTGCTGGGATCCCGGCGGGAGGCGTTCTGACCATCGCTATTATCTTGGAGGCCATTGGACTTCCCACCAACGATATCTCTCTCATATTGGCTGTGGACTGGATTGTGTAAGTACCAGATACCTGCCCCTCTGTGCCTTTATTTGGGGTACATGAGTATGTGGGACGTTAATGGCATGAACGGACCTCCCTGTTGAGAAGGGCTTACATTTCAGAAAATAGGTGGATAGCAAGACAAAACAGGAAGTCCTTAAGGAACCGAGAATCCGTTCCCCTCACCTCTGCCGATTCCTGGGGATTTCTGTGGCCATGTCTAGTTGAGTCCTTGGACACCACATGCCTCTAAGCCTTTGGGCACTTAGAGTGGCCACTGATTCTAATAAGCCCTATAAGCCCTGGGAGCCACTTTCACGTGTGCTGACATCAAGGAAAGGGCTGTTGTGCCCCACCGTTTGTCACTTATTTCTTCCTGCTGGAGGAAACAAGAAGTAATTGCTTTGGCTATTTGTGCCCCTGCGATAGTGGATGTTCTTGCCTGTTGGAGGAAGGGAGTGTGGAAAAAAGCAGCTAATGTGTGTCAAGTTCCATTTCATTCCATAGGAAATAGGAAGTGATGCATTTCTGTTACACAATGTAAGGGGCAAAACGAGCACTTACAGTGTTTTGCCCCAAAGCAGTGGAAGAGAAGATGCATGTGAGACCCAAATACTGGGTTATAAATAAGAACAATTATCTCTAGTCAAGAAGAAAGAAAATCAAGTAGACCTGTTTCTATACCAAACATCTCCAGCAGCAAGTTGCTGAACCAAAGCATCTCCATCACAGCCTCTTCCAGGAGCACTTGGTGTTCAGTAGGCTGCTTGAAAGGGTCTAATGCTGTTGATGCTCTCTTCCTCCATGTGTTTCTGTGGGGACCCAAAGGACCCCCCGCCCCTGCAGGGCCATGTTCCTGTGGGCCTGCCAAGTGGAGGCACCCACTTGCTGGCCGGCTCAACAGAGGTGCAGCAAGAGAGCCGGGGGGTGCAGCCAGCCGCCTGGCTCTGCCAGCACCCCCTGGACAGTGTGGGGCTGTTTCCGTTTATGAGCAGCCCTGTTCAGCTTCTCGGGATATCCCTGGTCTGGTGTGCAGGTGTTCACTGTTAAATGAACCATGTTGGATGACAAATCTGTAAAATCTCCGTCATTGAGTGACATCTTCAGTGAAATTTCATCAGCGTCAAGCATCTCTTCTGTCTGGGTAAAACGTGTTAAACCTGCTTGTATGCCTTTCTTATGGACTAGGGACCGGACCACCACGGTTGTGAACGTAGAAGGGGATGCCTTTGGAGCAGGCATCCTTCATTATCTGAATCAAAAAGAAGCCAAGGAGAAAGAGGCAGAACTAAACGAAGTCCACGTAGAAGCCATTCCAAACAGCAAGGCTGAAGGGGAGACATCACCTCTGGTAACGCACAAGAATCAAGCCAACCCCACTCCATTGTCTAGTACGAAAGATCTAGAAGCAAAAGAATCTGTTCTATGAAGAAGAGGAGGGGAAGGAAAGGGGGACATTCTGCTGATACTGAGCGTTGGAGACAACATCTTTAACTATGGAGAGGCCCTGCAGCCATGTGGCATTGAAAGATGTGTCCATTTTCCATTCCACTGGTCTGGAGCACAGTGGTATGCCAGCTACAGACTGTGTGTGCAAGATAGTGTGTGTGTGGTATGTTTCTCCCCTCCCCACCCCACCCCTCCTTTGAGAACAGGAAACCCTTGTGGTGTGATTGGGGTCTTTCATATTTATGCATGTGTACAAAAGTATGCAGCACACATGTTCCGATATGAAGTTTCAGGAAGTCTTTCTTTTGGTTGACTAACATTAAAGGCCCATCCTGCAGGGTAGGTTGTGAAAGTTGGAACAGGCCAGGTTTGGCCACTTGGCTTGCCTGAGTCATAAAGGAAGAGAAAACTGAGATTCCTCCAGTTATATATTGTGTTTTGAAAGATGCCCCCTCCCTGAGGGACCGTTTATCTTGATTTCAGACCACAGATTATGGGACATAAGAAGCTGAAGCACCACTGGGTACAAAAATGGTCACAATAACCTTTATGTGGCACCTTCTAAGATTATCTTCCTACAAGACACTTAAATTGCCTTTGAACCTCTCAGCTCTTAATGTCAGACTTTTGTTTACATGGGGGAGATGTATTTGTCACATGAATGAGCATTCTGGAGGCAGGTTAGGTACTGACATTCATAGCATGCTTCAACCAGTTGAAGCAAAAACTGATCTAACCTTTCCAAGAAGATACACTAACTTGCTTATTGCTGGTGCCGCAGGTTAGTACCCCTTATCCATTAATCCCCAAGCCTTCAAGAATGCAGACCAAAGAATCATCTTTCCTAGAACACCATGCTGTGGCTGGAAGTGTTTGTTCTTTGCTTTAGCATGTGCTCCCAAAAAGAAGGACCCCTTGCTTCCTGAAGGTCCATTATAGATGGGAGGAGCAGGTTGCTCCTGACCTGGGAGTACCTTCTATTCGGAGAATAATCGGCAAATCAGCTGCAGTTTTCAACCATGAACAGGTTGTTACTGTGGATCTCTTAATGTTTGGAGATGTATTGGCCAATACAACTTTCTTTTTATGTCTAATAAGGGAAGGCATATTGCAGAGTTGGCTAAAACTAATGCAGGGCATACGTGCCATATCTCACAAAGCCTATTTTTTTACACAGCATTTAAATCAGAATGTGGCTTCCAAATCACCATTGAGCTTTGGTTAAAAGAAAGAAGGAAGAACCTGTACCGGCACTGCTTGGTAGCCAATGTGTGTTTGTCACCAAACAAGCAGTTCTGGCCACTTACTCTCCTTGCACAAGAAAGATGATCCAGATTATCTCCTAGAACTGAACAAGCATCTCTAGTCCACTTCTGTATCCCTTGAGTCCTTGTGAAGCTCTTTCTCCCCCTTCATGTAGGGCAGATCTGCAGGATGGCATAGCTTCTCCAACCAAGTTTCTGTCATAAATGATAAAGCCTTTAAAAAATGCAAGCCAGTAGGTGGATTTTTTTCTTGGATAAAGCCTGAAAGAGGAGCCAGAGCTGTGAATGTGTCCCCCCGACCGGTAGGCATGAAGTATTGCCTGCTGGCTCTTTGGAGGGGAGGGCTGAACTCAGCCTTTCTACTGCACCCTGAGCAGCTCCTTATCAGAATTTTAACACCATCCTGTCAGGACGTGGGGTTATGTTTTGAATCAGGTCTTGCATGCATCCCTTGCCCTGCCATGCATTTCTGCCCATAGGGACAGGATTCATCTTGTGTAGGATAAATGGGATAATCCCAGATGCAGGTTTGTGAAGAACTTGGCAGAAAGGTAAAAATTTTGTTTGGATAGATATCTATTTTATCTCAAACAACCTTGCTCATTTTTATATCTTCCCAATACTTATTGCAACTGCCCTTCTTTGTTAAGTAGAGTGACATTTAGAGAAAATCCTTGAAAAGATTGTATGTGTACGCGGCCCCATTCCAGAAGTCTTCCTTTTCATGTGGGGACATACGAGAGCAGAGATGTCCTGTCATGTGAACAGAAGCCTGCATGCTCAGTGGGACTTTCTCCTTCCTCATGAACCACCCCCATTTGCTCCAAAAACATCTTCAGCCATTCACAGTAGATTTTGAGGATGCACAGGGATCAGCCCCCTCCTGGTTCTGATGAGAAAAACTGAATTGGATTTTCCCCATTTTGCCTTTTACGATGTTGAACCTTTGCAAATGTACTCTTGTAGTATACAGAGAAGTCTGCCCTGCAAAGTGCTTTAGCTGGGTCCTGTAGCAAAAGGCCACATGCTGATTTCAAAAGGTGTTGCTGTAGTTTAGCGTCCCAGCTAGTGCGTTGTCTTGTGCTGCTGCCAGCACAAATTGCCAGATTCTCTTTTGCAATAATGATACAGTTTGTAAATAATTGCATTGCTTTTTCATTAGATAATCATTAAGTCATACAGTTACATCTGTCCCTTGCATAATGTGCTGAGCACACACTGCCAGAAAGGATGGGGCACATTGGCAGAGTTGGGGTCTTTTGAGCTGCCTGACTTTGCCACGAGTATCTTGCCTTATGAAAAGCAGATGTATAGCTAGAGATTCAGAGGATTACACTGCAGAGAAAGTCAATGCACATTTTCCTTCTTCCTGGCACCAGCTTACTGATTTGGAGTATGTGGGTTGGGTTACACTTTAAAATTACATATGTGAGCTTACAGACTTCATGGAACAATCAATCCAGTTGGAGAACAGTGATTAGCAAATAGTCTCAATTGATTTAGCACATTTTAAAGCAAGAAGCTAAGCAGTTCAGAAGGTAAACAACTCTCCCAGTGGTTCAAATTAATATCAGTAACTTTTAAGCACAGAAGAAATATCTCAATTTCTCTCAGTAATTTCCCAATAGTAGCTTTTGCAAGAACAACTATACAACTTGCAGTCAGTAATGGCCAGCTAGACAGAATATCCCCAATCATATTTCTAACCATGTTTTTTTAAAACTTAAAAGCAGCTTTGGGTCCCCCCCCCCCCACCCACAGCCTATGTTGGAATAGGCTGAGGAAGAGTTAGTTTAGTGCTTTCCTCCAGTACAATTCTGTCCAATTTTAAATAGTCCTTCCATCACAGACACACTATTAACTGCAGAAGGGGTAGGTTTTCTTACCTACATAAGACATCTTACCTAGTGTGTCTTATAGAATGGAAGAAGAAAGGCCTATGTGGTTGGTAGCTGCTTCATCCTAAATTTCCTATGATTCCACTTTACTGGATGGGCCCGGGTTCTAGTATTATGAGAAGGGAAAGCGGGGGAATCTTCCTGTCCATTTTTCCCACCGTGGCAAGTTTATGAACTTTTGTCATATTCCCCTTACTTGCCTTTAGGAAAAAAGGGTCCCAAGCATTGCATCTTTTCCTCAAAGGGAAGTTGCTACAGCCCCCTGATCATCCTGTTGGTGCTGCAGTACCTTTTTCAACATGCGATGACCAGAAGTGTACAGAATATTCCAAGCGTGGTAAATGTTGAGGGCTTAGAAAGCAGAAACTGGGCATGGAAGGACTGAGTAATGTTGGTTGGTAGAGACAAGTATGCACATAGGACAAAGGGTGTAAGGAGTGAAGGATTTTGGTAGCAAACTTCTTTTGAAGCTCACATGGTTGCACATGCTTCCTAAAAAGCTGTCTCCATGTAGAGCATGAGTACATCAAAGAGAAGGCTAGCCACCTATAAAGAGGCTTCTAGGAAGACGGATTCTTGTTTGATTTCTTTTGCGACAGAGAAGTGTTCGATCGTGTGGTCCGCCCACAGTTCACAGTGCTTCCATGAGCCCCAGGGCCATAGCCATGGGCTGTCCCTGGGCTGCAACTGACTTCATGTTGAGACGCCCCTGTGTGTTCAGTCGCATGCCTCCTCCTGATTCTTTACAGCAGCCTTCTCCGACCTGGCGCCCTCCAGACACAGGGCCTACAGCATAACCTGAGAGATGCTGAGCATTGTAGTCCAACACACCTGGAAGGTGCAAGTCTGCGAAGGCTGCTTTACAGGTGCTGTAAAAGTACAGGGCTGTGGTGATTGTACATAATACTTGCAAATGGGAAAGGAGGGGGGAATGTGACTTGTGTTTTCTGCAGAAGTGTTCAGTGGCCATTGTGTAAGAGCAGCTAGGATAGAAAAGAACCTGCCTCCCTTGCCCTTCGTTGCCAGCAGTGCCGTTAATGTCTGGAGAGCGTTGCAAGGTGCTGGGGACTGAAGCTGCCTAACCAGGGCAGTATTGAGAGCAGGGCCATTTTTTTGCCATGTAAGAAACCTTAATAGCGGTCATGCTGAGTATCTCAGGAGACAAAGCTGGGTGGATACGGCGCTTTAGCCATCGCTGGCAAGATAAAAACCTTTGGGTCAGCGCATATTTTCTCCTTGTTTTGAAAAGGCCCTTCCCCTGGCCCCCCCCCCCCCATCCCCATAGCAGATTTTTTGCTAATGGTTTGAGTTCTGTGCCTCTTCATCCTGGGAAAAATCAAGATGGCAAGTAGCGAGCAACTGTATAGGACAAGTATTTTTGGCAAGTGGTAACTTCTTATCTACCAGGCAGCGCCTGGACCAAATTCAAGGTTATTGTATCCTTTTCACCCCAACACTGTACACTGTGTGCCATGTCCTTTTGTACTGTGCCAACAAGTAAACGCAGCTGCTTTTTGCACATGGGTGATACAGAAAGCCTTCAGGTGAATCTTTAAACTAGTCAAGTTTCCACTAGGCATATAGGAAACTGCCTTTGGCCAGATCATCCTGTGTTAACCGATAATCCAGTATTGCCTGCTTTGGTTGGCAGCTGTTCTCCAGGTTATCAGGTCATGGTGGACGTTCCCAACACCTGCAGATCGGTACTTTTAATTTTATTGAACCCGGTCCTTCTGCATGCCAAACAATGTGCCTTACATGTTTCCTCCCCTCAGTGGTATAAATGTGGTTTGGATTATGTCAGTAGCCTGGTTTATTCCTAGCCTTGTTTCAGAAACGATAGCAAATCTGCACCACACTCTTACAGTGTTTGCAACATTCCAGTTCTACTGTGAGTTTTCTGTATCTCATGATACTTCTTGCTGTCCCCATCTTCTTTCCCTTTGCTGCGTATCCTGCCTGCCTTTCCCTTCCTGCCTGCCTTCCTATCACATGGGTCACTCTTCTCCAAATTGGGGCCCTCCAGATGTGTTCAGCGGCAACTCCCAGCATTCCCCACGTGAGAGAAATGGCCTCTTGGCACTTCTGGAGAGTAGGGTGAAGGGGAATAGTTTCCTGTGTGGTGCGCTGCACTAGTCATGAGCTTACTTTCCTTTTTTTCTTTTAATGAAGCTCTGTTGGTAAACCCAGTTCAGTCACAGAGAACTGCTTCTGTCTCCCCTTGTTGGTTACTGAGCACATAAAAGCTGCTGAATGTCACATAGCAAAGACTGCATGCAGTCATGAAGTCAAGCTATGGCTTTATCCTGGTTTGCTCCATGGACCTAGGAAGATAAAGGAAGAAACTTTATCAATATAAATATCTATATAGATACAGGTCTATAGATGACATATTTCTAAACCAGTTCCTCACCTCACACACATTTAAAATCAGTAATACTCTGTAATATAATAAGCTTAAAAAAGATGCATTGCAATGCTTAGCAAATCATAACCTTGTCATTTGAATTTCTGAAGGATTATTGAGTTCACATGGATTCAATTAATTCATATGAATTCAAAGAGATACTTTAGACATGCTTGAGCACTTTAGCATGCCCAATGAAATTTTTCACTCTTCTCTTGCCCCCATAATTTGGGCAGCAGTTTCCTATGGCATATCTCATGAACTGCTTTCAAACTCTCTTTAGTCCCCAAAAGGGTGAGCTATGTGAATGATACGGAGGGCTGGTCCTTGATTCACAGAAACACCAGAATTCCTTGGATGGGCAGGACTAGTTGGCTAGTCTTGAATCCTGGCCATAACTTGTGCACAGCTTGGAGTACTGTGTAGTCCAGTGGAAGCCGCTTCTGTCTTATTTGCTGGTCTCTTTTCTAGAGAGCACGTCTCCTGGGAAAGTGGAATAGCCCTTGCTAGCAAATGCAGGAGTTAGTAAAAGATTAAAGTCAAGCTAGATAGAAGAATGAGTATCTGTTGCTCAAATCATGCCATGTTGATTTTCAAAATACTTGACCTGAACTTTTTAGGAGGATTCTAATCTAAAAAGTTTAGATTTCAGAGGGTATTCCAAAAAGAACAATCTGTTGCCAGATGTCATGTTTTTCCCTACTCTATAGCACAAAGGCTATTGTTGCAAGGACTTCTCCTTTGTCTGGCAATAGGCATCTCTTCAGATTCTGCTACTCCCTGATTTTCTTTTGGTCTCGCAGGGACCATTTTGGGGCTCACCCGGTCTCCATAACTTAGTACCAGATATGCTCCTTTAAGACTTTTCCTTTTGGTGTTTACTTGCTGCTCTCTTTTTGAGAGAGCTCAAATGTCAGCTTCTGTTATGATCTGAGCAGTGTTTCTCTGCCCATTTAGAATGCCCATCCCACTGAACTTGCTGTAGCATCACTGACTTGCATCCTTGCAGAGCTATGCAGTGATTATCATGTTAACATTACTTCAAAGCAACACCATTTCAGAGTGACTCAGTTGTTTCTCATAAGGAGAAGGATGGCTGTGGCATCTATACATACATTTAAACCTTCTGCCCACTTTTCCATCTCAAGAATCTGCAGTATTCAACAGTATCTTTATATGCTTTCATGACAGGTCTAGTCAGGTTTTAAGGGGAATTGAAATACCACACCTTATTAGAGTTCTATAAGTGCAGTGTCTTTCTGTACTGAAGGCCATAAGTATGGAGCCTATATAAACTCCATATATATAAAGGTGGGACCTGAAGAGCTTTGCTGCTAAATATGAACCACTGATCAATGGGAGTGTGTATATTTTGATCAACGTGATAAAGAGTAATGCTTTGAGAACTTGATGATTCTGTACAAGAGCTGGGACACCACTGCCTTTACTGTATTACATCTTAGGTGCTTCAGCCCACTCACATCTGACCAGTTCTGCTCTTGGCCACTGTTAGTCTCTCACTGATAACTATGCATGATAGGAGGGAAGATCTCCTGAGGCTAACAATGGATCTGTATCCCAGGAGAATGTGGGCCAAGCTACATGTCATTCATGCATTTAACAACTCTGTGATTGGTTGGTTTGTTTTTTAAATAAACAACAGCCGTAGAAGGGCCCAGTCCAGATCATGGTACTGCAGGGAGGGGTGTTTAATCTTGCAGTTCTAATCCAGATCACCTTCCATTGCCACCACGGCTGCTAGTTGCATTGAGGAAGGTTCCCACTGGCCTCACCTGAGTGGTTAAATATCTGTCCTTGTTGGTAAACCCTTTGCTTAACTGATATTTCTCCACCTTGTCCTTAAATTGACAGTAGCTGGTGTTTGTTTAATGGAGGCAGGAGCAGAAAACATTTGTTTCTGTACAGTTTGTGGAGTAAAATTCTGCACTGAACTCACATTTAATGAATATTGTTATATCATGCCTCACTATTCTGTTTTAGTACATTGCACAGGAATAAAAATCTATAGCTCCCAAAAGGAATGATTTTCAGATGCTGCATTGTAGACCAAAAACTTAATCTGGCTGCATAGATAACCACTCCATTTTCTAAAGCTGTCTTTCTGTATGGAAGAACTGTTCCTAATATATATTTTGTACTTGTGGCTCCATAAAGTCTTGGTCACTATCAAGGACCAAATGTGTGAATGTATCTAAAGATACTGTATGTAGATAAGTGGGTGTGGAACTGATGTTGTGTACTATTTGTGTATTTCGTCTCCATGTGTAAGGAGACTCCCGATCACCAGCCTGCTGTTGGCTGGAAAGGACAATCTAGTGAATCATGTCAAGTTATGGCAGACAATGAACTCTCTCACTCCCAAACAATCATATTTTCATTCTTGTTCATTTTTTCTGAATCTGAAATAAAATTCCTTTAGAATGAATGCAATATAATGTGTCTCTTTGGAAACAAATATATGCTATATCACAAAACTATTCTTAGGCCAAGGTAGCCACTGGTGTTACAGTCAGATTCCACATGATGGATATTTACAGGGTCAGGTCTGGTCCCACCACTGGCAAAACTAAAGCTATCACATGTGTGGCATCAGGCCCATCTCTTCAGATCCGGGATACAGAGCATCCAGCACACAGAGCCTGTCCATTTTTGCCTCTCCATCCTTCAAAAGTCAAACCTCTTTTGGGTGGGTGTCAGATGGGCATGGATGGGGGCTGGAAGGGCTTAGGATCCTCCCCCCCCACTCACTGGCATGTGAATGCCCCCATTTTTCTTCTGCAAGGTTGGGATTCCACAATCCTAGAGGAAGCCACTGTGAAAAACTTTGTGGAAGTTGACAGGGGGCTCTAACTTGCAGGAAAAAGTATCCAGATTTGGAACTCTTTCTACGTAAGACTTCAGAGGGGTCTTTCCAGAGCCACAGTATGGTGACTAGGGGGCATCGGATTTTTCTGTTACATGTATTTTGGAATCCGTATCTATGTGTGTAACTTCTAAGTGTGAAGTAACTCTCTGCCTTACCACTTCAAAACCATTTTACCACACTTTATTAACATTTTAGGGCCAGGTGAAATTGCTTTGAAAGCTGCTCCAACTTAGCTGCCAGTTGGCATTCCCTAGGCAACACCAATGCACTTCTCTTTGAGTGATGGAAATGCTTACAGAAGTAATTATGTTGTTATTAAAGTTGCAGGCATGGAGTATTAAAAAACCCCTTAACACACATTTTGCTTATCAGAAAACCATCCAGAGGACACAGGGAGTTGTCTTCATTCCTTCTCTCTTCCTCCCAGTTTATTTTATTGAGACTGTACTACAAAAGGCCTCTAGCCCACGGATCTGTAACACTTTTGCTCTTTGAGCAGTATTTTTCACCTTCAAGACAGGCAGCTACTTTTAAGATTTAAAAGAAGAGCATTGGTGTAAGGAACAAAGTTACCTTAATGTTCAAGAAAGCAAATTTCACAGATATGGGAAACCTGTGAAAGGAAGGAGAATGAATGGGATAAGACACATTTATGTGGATCCAGATTACTTTAAACCTTCTGTATTTATGAGCCCATGCTGGGATCACAAAATCCTTGCCTCAAGGCAAGCCAATAAAGTAGAGTGTTATAAAGTGCAGTCTCTTCAGGTTTTTGGATGGAATTTCACCTATGCCAGGCTAAAATAGGCCCCTTTCCACCATATATAATTAGGACTGTTGTATCTCTGGATTAAAGAGCTGGATTACTGTTGCTGTAGACTAAAGAGTTCTATTCCTCCCCACCCACCCCAGCACACCTGCCTCCAGTTGGTCCCACTATTTCTGAGCACAAATATAATTCAGCTCTTAAACTTTGAGCTTGCATCTAGTGGTGTCCCTCCACCTGTGGAACAGATCCTACTGGTGGCTTGAATTCTGCCTTCTCGCTGCATGCCTTCCACATGTGCTCCAGGGTGTTCGGGCAACCTCCAGAGGAAGTTTGAGCAGCATGTGGGAGGGCAGGAAAGAAGAGTAGAAGGGAAACCCTCAACGCACAAATGTAAATCCCCCTGCCTCTTTGGATTTAACGTCATGTCTTTGAATGTGCCCAGAGTGCCTTCTTTCCCTGAGGGACCAGAACTAGGCTCCTCTAGGAAGAAAGACTTCTACTAAAGGGAAGAACCCCCCTCCACAGAACCAGGAAATATGGAGAGCCACTTCACACTTCACTTTCTAGACTTTGCAGAAACAACTCTGCATATACAGGTGAAACTGTGTTTTACACCCACGTGCATTTTCTCAGAGAGCCAAAATTGACTGCAGCCCTTCCCCGTGAGCATTCCTAGCAAAACCAGGATTACTGCCACATCATGTGCAAAAAGAAGCCTACACATGCCAATGAAAACAGTATAAACTGAAGTGCACAGAAAAGAGCATTCAGTTGTCTGTGTACAATGGCACTGGAGTTGCTGTAACCTACTGCTGAATGAATGAGGCACAACACTAAGAGCGTGACGCCGCTTGAAAAGCAAAGCCCCCTCTCTTTCCTTGACCCTTCGCCTCAGCACTTTGTGAAAGCTCAAGAGAAAGCAAATGATGCGGTTATTATTATGCCGAGACAACTTGACATGTAAAAGCCCCACATCTTGTCCCACCAGGTCGGCTGCCTTGAGAGCTAATGACAGATGTGCCAGATGGTGTGTGATCATTACAACAGCCCAAGCCACTGCTGACCTATCAACATGGAAGGGCAGAAGAATCTACTGCCTATTCTAGGTGCAGGCCGTCTTGCAGCACCTGGACCAAATTCCAACTTGGAAGAGACTGCAGGAGTTGTATTTGAATGGAGGGTATGGCCAAAGGAAGAGGCCTCGCAAAAAGAAAATCCAAACAGCAAGCAAACCCACACACACGCACATGCATATTTTAGTTTCCCTCTATTCCTGCTAGTAACCAAGCCTTCAGAGAAACCTTTCAACCTTCTAGAATATGGGGGAAATTGTGCAAAAGCTGGAAATCCACCAAAGACTTGGAGACTTGGAGAAAGAGGCTCTGGCTAAAAAGGGGCCAAAGCTATCTGGGGAGGACTGGACTGGGGCACAAAGAGGGCCCCTCACCCTGAGCTTCTGCACCACTGATCACTTGTTTCCGTGTGGTATGGAAGAAGGTTGGCCAGTGCAGAGTGTTGGCCAGCAGAGTGATGGCCAGTGCAACTGGGTAGTGGAACAGGGTGATAGATACAGAATGGGGAGAAATGAAGAATTCTTCTCTGGCTTAGATTTTATTCTGAGCCAGAGAAGAATCCAGGTGTGTAGAAAGTCTGTTTCTCATGAAAGCCTTCAGTCCATTGCCCGATTCACAGGACTTCAGCAGCAACTCTAGCTATCACCGCCCATTTACAAACTGTCAAGTGCCTCCCTCCTGTCAGGCTGCAGTGCTACACACAGGTACCTAGCAGTCTGCCCCAAGGAGCTCAGCAGAACTTGACATCTCACTAAACACATGCAGAGTTGTGCTTGTATGGCACAATTTCACAGCATGGATGGAAAAGGGCAAGCAATGCTCTCATGCTTTAACATTCAGTAGTTGCTATTTTAAAGGCATTTTAACTGCATATGATTCTGCAAGGACTTGTCTGCTCTCACCTTTCTCTTCCCTCAGATGGAACACAGCCCTGCTTTTGTTAAGAGGACTTTCCCCTTTACTTTCTGTAGATGTGGATATCTGGCAATTCTGTCATTAACCCTGAATAATATACACAGTAACTCAGTTGTCCTTATCTCCTGTGACTATGCCTTATGTTCAAATCCATGTACACTGGTAGAGGCACCATTGACTCCTCTTTAATCTCTGCTTCCCAGGTGAACATCATTCTTCTCCCTCCAAATCCTAATCTTCTGCTAGTGAATTTGTATTTGCAGCAGGTGATCTCTAGCAACCATGCTACCTTGGCTGGGGACAGAGAAAGGAATGTTTCAAAGCAATCCTAGGTATGCTTACTCAAAAGTAAGCCCCAGTGTGATCAATGGCAGTTACCCCCAGGTAAGTGTACACGGGATTGCAGCCCTCAGCATTAAAAAGGGGGAGGGAATATATGGGACTTCCAAAGAACCCAATTTGCCATGCAAAATAGCATGCATGCAGTTTTATTGTTTGGTGAACTGCTCTAAAGATAAAAAGACTGGAGTGAGTCTTCCATCTTGTGGTTAGATAGATGAAGTGCAATGTTACCTTTCCTCTATGGCAAAACATTATGTGGGCAGTCAAGTTTTCCAATTAATAGCAATACAGAACATTTGAAGTGCTTAATCAGTGTGCAGGCAGGATTCCTTAAACCTTCCTTATTTAGGAATGCCGCTTTTGCTTCCCAAAGTTTTTCTGTTAGGGATGGCCTCATTCTGTTAGAAATAAGCTGGGTGGACTGGAAAGATTGTGTGGGAGAATTAGGGTATATCCAATGGCATCATTCTGCTAGCACAAATGATGGAGTACTAGGAATGGGAAAATGGAGGAAAAACTGCTGTGCTGGTGATTTGCAGATTTGGGGGCAATGTTTGCTCTGCCTTCCATGGATTTATGGACTCAGAATTTGCACAAATGTGTCCGTGTACATTTGTGCAAATTTGTGCCCCCTGAGTGCATAAATCAGCTCCAAATGTGCAATTTTCCCCATGATGCATATCTTCACATTTTACTCTGTGGGTTTGCACATTGTATTAGTAAATTTTATTTTGTATATTTTTCTGCAGCTAATTTGTGCAAACACACACACATTCTGCAAGCCCCACACACCTTGAGTGACCTGTAGGAAGCTAGTCTGCTGTGGAATCTGTAAGAAGGGACTCTGAAAATGAGGACTCATTGGATTCTTTGTGGATTTTTGCAACATCCCTATGTCGTGCTACCAGAAACAAAATTCCAAAGTACGCACAAGCGAAGACTCTAACTGAAGTTCTGCAACTGGTTGCACAAACACATGTAGATCAATAGGAAAAGGCAGCTGAGCTCTGCTACCATAGCAATTGATCCTGCTAATTGGACTTGAGAGCCCTAAATTTGCCTAGGAAATGTGCCATTCTACTATTCAGTGTGGAGCATAGGCTACAATCAACCATTAATTAAATGTAAACTGTCAAACAGAAATGTAGGGTGGAATGAGATCCTGAGTAAAAACTCAAAGATCTTAACCATCTTCTTTCTACTCAATAGGGGGCATTTGCAAGGGAGATCTGCTGAGCAGAAACAGCTGCTGAATTTCATAGCAGGGTACAGAAATACACCTGTCTGGAGTCAGAAGAGCTGGCAGAATAGAGGAAGTCATTGAAAGGATGAAGCATACTCAATCCAGCAACTTGACAAATGCAACACCCTCCCATATCACAGTTAACTGGAAAACGGGGAGATATCCTAAGGGCAGCGTCCTACGCATGTTTAGATAGCAAGATGCTAAACAGTTCAGCATGGCTGACTGTGGAGTACAGAGTTGCTGGAGTAACTGGCTTTTTGCCCCTTCTGCTGCTTCCTTGAATCTTTCACCCTGATTATTTTTTCTGAAATCAAATGCCCTCGCCTTCTCTGAACATACTTCTCGGGTGGCCTTAGGAGACAAAGTCATTTGAACTTGAAGCACACCCAGACTGTAGACGTGGGTATATTTGCATGCACGCGCGCGCCTCTTCTCCCCTGCGGGCCTGTTGTTGTTAGTCGCGAAGTCGTGTGCGACCCATCGCGACCCCATGGACAACTTTCCTCCGGGCCTGCGGGCCTGAGCCTGGCTCTTTTCGGCACTTGGCTCCGCCCCTGCTGTTCTGCTTCACCTGATAATGGAGAAGGCCGCGGTAACTGCTGGCGAGGGTGGGGAGAAAAGTTGGGAGAGAGGCCTGAAAGGCGTCACAAGCATATATCACTCTATACAAATACGTTGGGTATTAGGAAGAAATGGCAGAAGCGGGGAAGAACCCCTGCTGGGAAAGCAGTGCACATCACCACCACGGCTCTAGACTGCCAAGCCGCGAGCAGCTTCTTGCCCCGCCTGCGAAATTGCCGGCAGGAGGCTGACCGCTGAGCACGGCTCGGCTCGGCTCACTGCAGGCGCTGGTGCCCCGCAAGAGCTGGGCGGGCGAGTTACCTCTTTCTGGGACACTACTCAGTTCAGTCAGACCTATTTCCCCGTCATCCTTCGCTGCTTTTTAAAATTTAACTCTCAGTGTTCCACATGTCCTGGACAACTCAGGCTGCTGCGGGGGAGGGGTTATTGTCCTCGAAATCTCCCCCTGTAACACCCTTAGAGCCCTCATAATAAATACAAATTCTGATCTCTCCGGGTCGTCCCATTTGCTGCCCAATTGAATGGCACGGGGCCATAAACATAGATAATAGAAGGACTAATAACCACCATTGCATTGATTATAAAATTGAGAGTTATTTATAGTATCTCCACCCATGTAGTTTTGGTTGCTTTATCCTAACAGCAACAGTGCTGCTATGCACTGGCAGATATTGTAGATACTAAAAACTGAGGATACCTCTGAACAGTTTATAAGACCCACAAGTGTTGGGGTCCAACATAAATCCTTATGTTGGATTTTTCTGCAGCAATGCCAGAAATAGTGGATGTCACAAGATGCTGTAAAGAAGAGATACTTCCTGTTGCAATGGTATGGAACTACCATTGTGGTCTGGGCATGTTGCTAGGATATACCCCTCATCTGGATTAAATAACCATCTATTTAGTTAGTAGGATCCATATATTCCTATGGTAATTCTGAACGACATGTGCCAAGCTGCCTTTTCTTCAGAGTGCATCATCCTGTGCTGTCCAATGGCCATACGGATAGCAATATTTATGGTTTGGCCATTTGTGGATGATCACCAGACTTCATTGGGAAAACCACCCTTTCTTTACATGGTGCCTTCTGGATGGATTGGACTACAGCTTCCATTATCCCCCTGTCGAGTTGTGGTGCTCCACTAGTCAGTGTGGATTAGTAGTGAATCTGGAATCCTGACTACATGCAGATTTTCTATGCTGTCATTAAACTTGAGTGCTTTAATTCAGAGAGCTGAACACCTAGAAACTGCAAGATCCACAAGCCATCAGATTTTAATGATCCACCCTTGATTTTAATCTTTGATTGTGGTTTTACTATCGTTTTGGTAACACACAAAAAATGTGGAAGTGGAGTTCTAGGGAGATGCTATCCAGGTTTTACCAGTATTTTGAGACGTATTCCGGGATATATTTCTGTAGCATGGTGAAGCAGGCAGGATAAAATGAGCTTTGGCAGCTGCTCATACTTCTGTTGCCTTGAGCAGGAAAACTGTCCGTGCAGCAAGCTGACTTCCCTCAGCCTCTAAAGGCCATTTCGTTCACTGTGGAGAGGTGGAGGGGAAGTCTCCGCATAGCTTTGGAGCCAGCTGAACATTCTCCGAATGGGCCCACGCTCAAAGCTTGGCACTTATTTGTTTCAGGCTTCTCGATCTCACTTGAGAGGGAAGACCTCACTGTACAGAAAGCAAAACCCACATAGGGTCCTATGGCGACTTAAAGACTAATGAAGGCTTTTGTAGTGTGGAGCTTACTTCATCACTGATGCATATATACTGGTATGCACAGACACAATATCCACATGCTCCGCTGTACGGGGAGATGCAGACTGCATCGTCAAAGGGAACGGAGATGCAAGGATAACTGTACTTTTAACAATTGCCATTCATAAAGTGTTAGGCGATAGCACTGCCATCATCAGAAAGCGAGGTTTGGGTGTCTACTTCGGCTCTTTAACTCTTCTACAGTCTTACTGGTGATAAAGCGTGCAATCTTATGCACCTTTTGATTTAAGAAGAGCCTACATCTCCCAGCCAGTCACAGCCCTGCTGGGAGTTGTAAACTATCCTTCTTTCGGAACATGCATATAGTATCGTGCCTTAAGAATGCGAATTCCCAATATTTTGTTTCTTCAGTAATCTTATATATGTGCTTCTTTTTATAACCTTTTCGTGTTCAACTTAATTTCAAAATGAAGTAAAACTTCATGAAGGGAAATATAGGGATCATTCAAAGACGAGCCGACTAACACGCGTATTGTGATTTCAAACCTTTTGTCCACACCACACCGTTATTGAAGCCATTTCTCCGCGTCTTTCCTCTATGGCATACTAAACCGAAGGCGGAGCTAATCAGGCATGTCACCCACAATGCCTTTGGATAATCGAAGGCGGGTGTCTCGGCTTCTCTTCCGAGGAGTGAAAACTAGCTCCCTTGGCAAGCGCAGGGTGAAAAGAACCCAAACGCAACCAGCGCTAGGCCAGCATTCCAAGCAAACGTCCGAAGCGGCTTGTGATTGGCTGAGACTGTAGATCTCGGCAGCTTGCTGCATATCTTTTTCAGCCCCGAGGATGCTGATTGGTAGAAATGGCGGCTCGGGCGGGGGTGCGCGCGCGTGGCCCGAGTGGGCGCGGGAGCGAGTTATTGTTGCTGAGCTGCGCTGGGTGGGCGAGGAGCGCAGGCGGTCGGGGCTTTTGAGGTTGTGGCGGTCCGGGAAGGACAGTTGATCGTGGCCTGGGCGCTGGTGGCAAGTAAGGACGTGCTTCGGTGCTAAGGGAAGTGGTTCGGGTTGGTTCGGGTTCCTTGGGCTCGAATCGGCTGCTCGGGCTTGAACTCATCTCGCCGGGATAGAGTCGGGCCCAGCGCCGTCGGGGACGTCTTTTTTTTTTTTCTTTTTTCCTTTGTGTGCTCGGGCTTCCCTTCCTCCCTCCGTTCCCCCGCGGGATTATTTGGAGTGAGAAACGCCAATGGGGCTGCCCGGAAGATCATTTTCCTAGCTGCTTGTTTTTGTTTTCTTGCCCTCCTTACTTGGGTTGTGTGGGCAAACCCAAGCCTTTCAGGCTGTTGCGTTTGCAACAGGCCAGAAACCGTGGCGGGCCTTTTGCGTTTCAAACGCGGTGTTCTTACTCCGGCAGTCTTTACCCACGATCGTCGCTCTGCTCTTTTCCTGCGTTGGAGATTCAGGCGCCGCCGCATCTGTGCGCGACGATCGGTGCTTCCAGGTGGTTAAAAGGACGCAGTTCACTGTCTGTAGGGACTAATCTTTTAGCCGAGGCAGGATCACTTTAATGGCAATCAAAGCTCACCACGGACGTGGAGGAACGTCGCGAAATACCTCTGGCCAGGGACTTGGCTCGCCTGTTTTCGAAGCCTGGTAGCTGGTTGCAACCAGCAAAAGGAAGGATTCGCATTGTGTAGCAAAGACCGCGTGCATCTCACCGCGTCACGCCCCCTCCCTCTGATCGTATATTCTGTTCTCTGAGTTTAATTTTGGTCACGCTTTTTGTACACTGCCTTGGTATCTGTAAGGACAAGGGGTGGTTTAAAAATAATTAGATAGACCAGAGCATGTATAGTTCTGGCTTTTCCCTTACTTTCTATCCATCCGCCTTCCATTAAAGTTCCCAGAGAAACTTACTCAACTATCCGGTGGTTTCATGGTCTGGTCAGTGTCTCATTGTATCAAAGCAGCAGTCTTTGTAGTCGGAAGAACTAATACTGTGCTTTGTTAAGAGTCACGCTTAAATTTAGACTAGGCCATGTGTTTAGTGGTTCTCCATAAAAGCAATTGGAAGAGAGCCAGCACTGCGAGGAGCAGGCAAGCACAAACAGCTGGTAAGGGAAACGTGACCTGCCATTTCCCTTGGGTCCACTTTGTGTGTGTATGCACACTCATGGATAGCCAGAGTGTAGCTTCCCATTTTTGTAGAGTGCTTACAGGTGCTGAGAGGCTGTGCTTAACTATAATGAGGAGTTGGCTTCCTTGTGGACTTGTGAACTATAAGGCTGTAGATTGTTGTATCTTCTCTAAGATTGCTTGTTGATGGACCTGAGTTATAGCTGAGTTCTGCCTACTGCGGGAGACCCCAGTCTTTATTCATTTATATATTTATATCTCATCTTGCAAGAAAACCAAGGCAGATGTTTTAGATCCACTGGCACATTTAGGAATTTGATAAACTGCAAGGGGCATCACCACAAAATGGCTGCCCTGGTTGGATGTGGATAGTCACACACAATAGCTGCCATGGTTAGTCAAAAGGAGGGTGGGGAAAGAGAACAAGGTTGCCAGTTGTGGGGAGGGAGAAGCAACAAGGTAAAGGGGTACAGGGAGAGAAAGAAGAAGCATTGCTGGGGGTTAGAAGGGTGGGGAAAGAGACTGCTGTTGCATTTTCCAAGGTTTTGGAACATTTATTTTGAAGGATGTGGGGACGAGTACCATAGCGGGGACTCCTTGGCCTGAGCACAAAATCCTTTCTTATAACCAGAAGAGCTTAATTAATAATGGATCTTAAGAAGATCTGTCTTATGGACTCTGCCTTTCTAAAAGTTCACTTTCAGGTTTCCTTCAGAACCAAGAGGAAAACAGAATAAAACACAAGTGCCTCTACCACAGTGGACTACTTGGATCACCAGTTACTTTGACTTGCAGAAGCATCAGAACAAACAGACGGTGGTTCTTCACTCAAGACATCATTAATGTAAGGAATTTACTGGCACAAAATGTTGTGATGGCTGCCAAGTTGGGCAACTTTGAAGTGGAATTAGAACAATTAATGGGAGTGAAAGCCTGCTCTTGGCTAATAATTATGATGGATTTCTGGAGTCCCAAGGCCAGGGTTGGGAAACTTGTAGCCCTCCAGGTGTTGATGGATTTCAGTTCCCATAAACCTTCATTGGTTATACTGCCTGAGGCTGATACGAAGTGTAACCTAGCAACTTCTGTAGGCCACCAAATCCCTATCACTGCTACTCTGGGTTCATGGGGGAGCGACTGTGAGGGAGTCCTGCCCTGCTTGTGGGTTTCTCAGAGGCACCTGGTTGGCCACTGTGGAAAACAAGATAATAGACTAGATCAGGGAACTGCAGGCCAATTCCAGTCCATTGTGGTTCCCCAAGAGACTCCACCCTCTTTCCCTCAACCACCCAGCAATTGATGGTTTCATGACATTTGCTTATTTTGCCCCCATTCTAGAAGGTGCAAATGTCTGTCCTAAGGCTTAGTTACTGTCAGCTGCAGTAAGCCGGTGCTCTTTGTATTTTTGGACTTTGCCCTGCTGGCCACTAGTGTGGCTGCCAAGAGTTTATCCAAATTGGATTTTGTCTCTAGGTTTGAAATAAACTTGCATCCCTGGGTTAGATGATCTTTGGTTTGATAAGCCAGGCTTTTCTTATGGTTTGAAATGCTAAATTAAAATGTAGCCCTTTCTGCATTCTGATATGGGGTGAAGAAGAAAAGGGAAGAGTTGGTGAGACTGCACAGGCTTTATGCCACTCAAATGCTTGTCAGTGTCTCATCTGTCTTTGAATTACAAGCAAGCTACCCTCAGTAGGGCTGGACCAAAATATTGATACATGCAGGAGAGCTGCAAATTCCCCCCACCCATCAATGTAAATATTATCCAGACTGGTCAAATCAATCTTGCATCTGAAACAGAAAATTCCACACCTGCATATTCTCTTCCCTGTCAGTAATGGTGATGATTCCAAACATTTTGTTGCCCTTTGATGATACCCAAAATCAGCTGCAGGAAAAAGCCACCTCCTCTGCCTCATCACAGGTCTGGCTGAACTAGCCGTAACATGAGCCACTGTGGTGGGTGATGAAGAACATGCAAGCCAGAAGTAATGCAACAGGATTTATTCAGGATAATGCTGAAGAATCTTCAGCTGCCATGGAGAGAGACAATGAGGCCTTGCATACTTTCTCTTTCCTCCCTGTAGCAGCTCTCCCCAAAGGTGTCCACTTGTTGAGGGAAGCTCTGAAGGGTGAAGTGTGGTACATGTGTAGACTGTCCCCATGGTGTGGAATCTGGTGTGCACTTTAGCTTATGGAGCTTTATGGAGGAGTCAGTGTGGTCATTACAGTGGGGGCAAACCATTCAGCTCCACTCTTCTTCTCTTCACACAGTCTCAGTTGCATGGAGAAAAGTAACACCTTAATGTACCAAACACTTGTATACATGCAGGTGGGATAGTGAGAGTGAGCGCAGGCACTCCCCGAGTTACGAATGTCCCAGTTACGAACAACCTGTACTTAGAAACAAACTGCAATACAGCCTATTTTAAAAAATAACTATGAAAAATTGGAATCACATGAGAGAGACAGAGGAAGTGAAAGGGGAGAAAGAGAGGACTTCAAAGCATGCCTTTCTGCCCTTCTTATCCAGAGAGGGAAATCTCTGCAGCATTTCCTTGCTGCAAAGAGGAGGACTGGTGAGTTTGGGTGGAGATAGGGCTAGAGATATTTGTGTTTTTCCACTTTGATGGGGTTTCTGTGCCCCCCAAGCTCTGTGAATGTGGAGGGCTGACTACATGTTACTTGAAAGACAAATTTCCATTTTTCTCTGGAGTGGAACTTGTTTGTAAGCCAGGGATTCCTGTATTTGTTCATGTCCTTGTGTACTGATGCAGCGATTTAAACAGAACTAGTGGTTTTGTGAGTTCTGAACCAGATGGTAGCAGTTAATGAGAACTGGCTTATTCAGAATGAATGGGGTGAATGAATTTTAGGTGGGTTTCTGAAAGAAATTGTTATGTGATCTAGCAAGATAGGTGGGACTCCGCAGACAATAAAAGGTTATTTTAGTGCTATGTTAGCCGCAGCCCTGATCTAGTGATAGGATGGGGAGGGATGCCTGTTGCAGTTCAAAAAAAATACAGGAAAGGGAACAATGTAGTTCAGTTTATGAGGCAGAAATTCTCACTGTCCAGCATCTCTGGCTAGGACAAGAAAAGCTTTTGGCTGAAACTGTGGAAAACCACTTCCAGTCAGTATCAATAATACTGGACTAGGTGGTGCAGTGGTCAGCTGCGTATGTTCCAGGATTTTTATCTCTCTGTGCACGTGTACTTGTTTGTCATTCGTTTGTTCATTTGTTCATGTTTCTAGGGAAATGCATGTTGGCGATTGGTGAGAGGAAATCACAAAAGTTAGATCAAAAGGCTTGGCAGGTTTTTGTTTTTGCAGGGGGTGTGTATGTTAAAGCGATTTTCTTCAGCCTGGAGACTTCCAGATGTTTCCCACCCAGCCAGGGTGCCCAGTCATCAGGAATGACAGGAGTTGTAGCCTAATATGTCTGAAGAATATTAGATTGGGTAAGGTTGGTCCAAAGCAACTTTGAGCGGCTTACATTAGATGTTACAGCATGGAAAAGTTACCCTGTTACACAGTGTGAAAATAAGTACAATTAGTGCGTACATTTAAGAAGTTTTAGAAGCAAGTATGTATGATGGAGATAGCAAGGAAGTTGTGCATGGATTGTTGTACATAGGTACTAACCAGCTGGCTCCTCTAATATATGGTCCCATTCGATACAGGAGTTTGTATACGTTGGTGTGGGATTCCTGCAGATAAAATACTGTGTTATGCTAGGGAAAAACCCAGGTGCTATCTTTGGGATGTCTGAATCTCCCATGATGATGCAGTAACAGGTGTTCTATTAATGTATAAGAGTCATCTGAAATGTGCTTCGTGTATAGTCTGTCCAGCCTAATACTTATGCCACTGTCATATGCTTTTGTGATGTGGTCAAGATCCCCTCAGGATTACTTTTTTTGCATCGTGAGATGATCAGCCATCAATGAGCACAGCAGCTTAGTGATCCCTGGTGGTGCTTTCATTCTCCTAGGCTGAGCAATGTGCTTATTGCTGTAAATTTTATGGAGCATTAAATTTGCCTCTTTCATGCTTTGTAGTACAGGGATTCAAGTGTGCTTGGCAACAGCAGTGCTTGCCCACAGCTTAGGGATATCAACAAAATGCTTAATGCACAGTATTGCCACCCTGATAGAACGCCTGCGTGGCAAGACTGATTTGCCACAGCAAGTGACAGACTGTGTATTAAGAGCCCGGAGGAATTCAACCAACAGAGCAGCAGCTTGGAGAGGTAGCGGACTGCAAGGAGAGACGTGCCAAGGCTGGGCGATACAACAGTGACTCTAATGCTGGCGTCCTCAAGGGACCGACTGGCATGTGGGAACATGTCTGCTGTACCCCACTCCCACTATATGTTTGGAATTATTATGCTGTCCTTTGCTAGCTGAATAAAATGAAGGCTTTCCTGCTTTCCCCAGCACTGGTCTAAGGTGCACTCCTGTTTTTCATATCAGGGAGACTGCTCTTGTCACTTGCTGTCGTGTCTAGACTGGCCTCATGGGAAGACTCCAAATGGAAGGCAGCCCTGTTTGTTCCCTGAGGAGAAAATCCGGAGCAACAGTAGCTTGGTGCTTTTAGCCAGAGAAGATCAGCCAAGACTGGAGTGCCCTCAAATGCTCCGTGTTCCAGCTTGAAAATTGGCTCTTCCCTTTCCTTGCACTTTGTTTCCCTTACAAATTAAAATAAGCCTAATGGCAGCCCCCCTGCCCCCCGTTGGTCAGTTGTCCTGGGAGACAGTTGTCTGCAAAACACAGTAGAACCACAATAAATAAATCACATGTATTGCATTTGGCTTAGGAGCATTTTACAAATATGGTAAATGGTTTATAAATCTTTTAGTAATTAAAAGATGATATATAAAAATTAGATCCCCTGAAAGTAGTGGGAAGAGTTGACATACACCGCTGTTTCACATTGATCTATGGGTGGAAAAATTTGGGAGAATGTCATACTCAGAAGTTTTAAATTTATCATAGTTCCTGCCCAAGCTCATTTCCCTTCCCCGTCGCCTCTCCCAAACAGAATTATTGGTGGGAGCATCTAAAAGCCAGAAGCCTTCATGTTTCTTCCTGAGGAGAATAGCACAGAGGCAGGAGAGGTTGCCTGCTTCCTTCATTCACTGGAATGCATGCTCAGATGAGCAGCCCCTATTTCTTCCCTTTATTCTTTAATATTTGCCCTCCAGACCTGGAAAGCAGGGACAGGGAATCCCAGGCTCAAGGACCAAATCTAGCCCTCCTGGGACCAGGAACGAGTTAAGTGCTATGTAACTAGTTACAGTGTACTCTGAGCAGTTGATTTCTTTTATCACCAAGCACTGGTCCTTCCAGCTTCTCTTTGTGGATGCCTGATCACCTTACTTGGCACATTCTGTACAGATACGACAAAGGCTATAGAATTCTAGGACTCCACGAAGAGGGCCATTCCCCATTTCCTGTGTGCTGAGGCAGGACCCTCCTTATTATACAAACATTCCTTGCAGAGTGGTTCAGTTGAAACTGTGCTTGTGGCGTGAAACTTATTCTGTGCTGTTGATTCAGACCTGCAAGAGAGGAACAATGATCACTTGACAAGGCAACTACAGAAATTGGTTTTTCTTCTTGTTAATGTTAATTGAAGACCTCGAGGGGCACAAAACAGAGGAAATTGGGTGGCAACATAAATTCAAAAAAGTTCTCCCTCCTTTTGTCCCAAGAATGTTTGAGAAATTGGAGGATTCTCCCCCCACCTTGTTTTCGCCATTTTTCTAGTGCTTTTTCCCAGAAGGAAAGCATTCATATTTCTAGCTATGCTACAAGTTGCTGGCTTGGATTTAAGTACACT